ATCACTCTTACTTCCTAGTCTGTCTTCATCTGGAAGCTCATCTAAAACCTGTCCACCATGGGTGACCCTGCTATTATTTAAAACACTGGTGGCATAGCTTTCAGAATCACAGCAACTCACAAGCCACCACAGTACGACAAATTGACAAATGAGTGATAGTGAGTTATGGTATTAGCTAATATTATTGAATGTCCCGTAGACTGCCAGAAGAGCAAATAAATCTGTGTTGAAAGAAGTGCAACCAGTATGCTCCTTAAAAGCCAGGATGGGGCATCTCTCATACTTTGAACATACTGTCAGGAGGGACCAGTCCCTGGAGAAGGACATCATGTTTGGTAAAGTTGAAGGTCTGTAATAAAGAGGAAAATCCCTGACAAGATGGACTGGCACAGTGGCAGCATCAGTGGGCTGAAACATAACAATTGTGAGGATGGTGTAAGGCTAGGCAGTGTTTAGTTCTGTTGTGCATACATTCAGTATGACTCAATAGCACCTAATAACAAAGAATAAACTATATGCAAGAAGCCAGCACTCAGTTCATTTAGTATTAGAACACTGCCGCACCTGAAAGGTATCCAATATTCTTCTCAGATCTCTTTTCCCCAAACATGAAGTAGCCATTCTGAATCATGTTAATCATTCTGCTTAAGAACAGTTTTTAACACTTCTACATCAAATGGTTAGTTTTGCCTGCTTTTGAATTCTACAGATGAATAATAGTAGATTATGTATTCTGTGTCTTAAAATAATTTTGAATTTGCTATTCAAGCAGGGTGATACTTCTAGCTGTAGTGTATTCTTGTTGCTGCTTTATGTTTTTTTGTGTATGAATATACCCTGGATTCTTTTTTTCCATCTTTGATGGATACGTTGCTGTAAACATTTTTGTAAATGATTTCTGGTACATTCCTTTGAGGGTTTCTCTAGGTTACTATATGCATAGGACTGGAATCACTCCAGCATCAGGTGTGTGCAAGTAATGCTAAATCTTTTCCAAAGGGGTTGTATTAATTTCATTCCTATTAGCAGTGGTTAAAGTTCTCATTGCTTCAAAGACTCATTTAGTTGTGTTACCTGAACTTTGAATTCCTGTTATTTTGATGAAATGATATCTGGTTGTGGTTTTAATTTGCACTTTCCTGATTATTAATGTGGGTTGCACAACTTTTAACTTTTTATGTATATGCATTTTCTTTATGTGAAATTTCTGCTTGTTTCTTTTGTCAGTTTTTAATGGGAAGGTGGTTGATTTCTCTTTTTCATATTAATTCATAACCACTGAAGTATCTCAGTTGGGCAGGGAAGTATCTAAGTTGAGCAGGTATGTATTTTTAGGAATGACCGTTATAGGGAGTTCTATTGTGGTGCCATAGGATAAGCACTGGGCTGCTAACTTCAGGATTGGTGCTTCAGACTCGCCATCTACTCCTCTGAAACCTTATACAGGTTTCACTATGAGTCAGAACCAACTAGAAGGCAATTAACAACTTTTGAGAACTTTTTATGGATAATAGGGGAGTAAATAGAATATGCAACTGGCTAGTTTTCTGTGATATATGGAGTACTGGTGTGGCACTGTAGGATAAGCACTGGGCTCACAGTAAATTTTAACTGCAAGGTTGGAGGTTCAAACTCACCAACTGCTCCTTGGAAACCCTTAGCAGGGTTGCTGTAAGTCAGAACTGACTTGATGGCACTTAACAACATCAATTTTTTGTGATATGAATGAGAAAAAGCAAGTGTGTGTAAATACAAGAAACAGAAAATAATTTTGCTTGACCAGCATTGATAAAGTGAGCTAAAGTCTAAGAAGCTTTGGTATACAGAAAAATCTCTTGAGGAAATTATTAAAACAGATTCCTGGGTCTCATCCCAGAGATTTTGAACGGCCCACAGTAAATAACCACCAACCAGTCTAGAGTTGTTGTTAAGTGCTGTCGAGTCGGTTCTGACCCATAGCGACCTAGTATAGGGTTTCCGAGGAGCAGCTGGTGAGCTTGAACTGCCGACCTTGCAGTTCAAACGGCTTTGCAGTCTGACCCATTAACTCACAGGGCTACACCAGTACTCCCCAGTCTAACGTAGGGCCCACAAATTGCATTTCTGACAAATTCTCACTTGCTACTAATGCTGCAAGTCTATGTATTTTACTTTGAGTTGTACTAGATTAGAGAATAGCTGTTCTAGTCTCTCTAGAAAGGTTTCTCATCCAGGGAGTGGCTTGTTAATTGGAACTTGGTCCAGGACAGGGAAGTTATATGTAGCTTTACAGTTAAGAGTTCTCAAAATTCAGGGCTAGGAATAAAAATAATAATAATAATAATGAACGTTCAGTCATACCCTTTAGGAAGCCTTTTTAGTGAAAGAATTCCTAGACTGAATCAGTTTGCTTTGTTCCCATAAGCAAGTTACCTAATCTTTTTGGGTTGTAAATGGTCACCTATAAAATGGGAGTGATAATACTGGTTCTTCATACCTTTCATAGTTGTCATGAAGGGCATACAGAAATAAGGCATGTGAAAATTCTCTGGAAACCTTAGTTTTATCACTGATAAAGCTCTTTGTCAGTGACACTTAATGGAAAGTATGTATGAGAATCTGCATTTTATGCCATGTGTGCATGCAGGCAAGCCCACATATAGGCTTCACTGAAGGAAAGTCAGAAGTTACTTATAGTTAAATGATGATGTTAACAAACTGGTATTTGGATCTTAAATTCCACAATTTAATGTAACAGATATCTCTTGAGTACCCATTGTTTGTTAACATGTGTCAACCTATATGGATACTAGGACTATAACATAATAGATAAATAATTTTAATATAGTATGTTGATAATAATGACAAAGGCATTTCTTTGTTGAATAGTATAACAAGCAGGGAAAGAAAATACAAAGAAGGGTATCGGGAAGCTTGCAAATGTGTGCATACAAGTATTTTTAAAGTGTCCAAAAGAAAGATACAATATGATGTTTAAGTGCTTGCCTTTTATAGATGATTCAGAGCTCCTCACTGTTCCTGATGGTTGGAAAGAACCAACCTTTTCCAAAGAAGACAATCCCAGGGGACTCTTGGAGGAGAGCAGTTTTGCAACTCTGTTCCCAAAATATAGAGAGGCTTACCTGAAAGAGTGCTGGCCATTGGTACAGAAGGCCTTGAATGAACATGTATGTACGTTTTATCCATTTATTTGACATTTGTCTCTTGCTTTTATTTGACGTTTGTCTCTTGCTTATAGCTTCCCCTTTAAGTGTATTGTTTAACAACCACTATGTTAAAATATTGCTCACATTATGCTCATGAGTCAGAACATTTTATTTGTGTTGTTTAAACCTTGTTCTTTCTTAATTTTCCTAATTATAGATTCTTTGTGAATCTCTGATAATTTGTTTTCACTTTGTCTTTAGTCCCCCATTCAGCTAGAAAAAAATTAGAAGGGGAAATTTTTTCATCCAGGGATTGGCTTGTTAATTAGAGCTGGCCTAAGATCTTTAGTATGTTCTCATTTGGATTACTATTTATTTTTTTAAACTAGAGATCATCTTTATTCTAGTAAGTATAGTTTATTCTAAAGCCAAATGTAAATGGTGTCAATTACTGGTTTCCTAATATTCTTTGCAGAATGAAAGTAGTCAAGTATTTGCTGTTTACCCTAGAGTTCTAGTGTGGTGCTATGGGATCAGCACTGGGCTACTAACTGAGGTTGATAGTTCAAACCCACTAACTGCTCATTGGAAACTACAGAGTTACTGTGAGTCAGAACTGACTTGACAGTACTTAACAACAAAAGCAATTTCTTCGATGAGAGAATTCAAAAGTTAGCTTAATGGTATAGAAACTGATTAATGGTTTCTTTAGCATGAGCTCATGTGTGATGCTATAGCATGCACACTGGACACCTAACCATAAGGTCAGCAGTTCAAACCCACCAGCTACTCTCATAATCCCTATACAAGGTTGCTCTGAGTCAGAATCGACTTGATGGCACACAACACCATCACAACACTGCAGGGAATGAGATGAAAGAATTTGAAAGAGAGACTTAATGGCATAGATTTAGTGGTTTGGTAAGCATGAATGCTGTAATTATTGAAAATTGAATTCAATCTTAGACAACTGTTTGCTCTTTGTCCTTTTGTAGCACGTTAATGCAACCTTGGACCTGATTGAGGGCAGCATGACTGTTTGTACAACGAAGAAGACTTTTGATCCATATATCATCATTAGGGCCAGAGACCTAATCAAACTTTTAGCCAGAAGTGTGTCGTTCGAGCAGGTAAATCTAAAATTGCCCAGACTTTTTGCTTAATTTGCATCAGCATTAGAGATAACATATAATATCATGAAAAGTCTTTTGCCATAGACTTTTCATGTTTATAGTTAGATGTTATTAGCCTAGGTGTAGTAAAGAAATATATTTGTAATGAATATTGATGGAAATATTATCTTTATTTTTCCCAAAGGCAATTCGAATTCTCCAGGATGATGTTGCTTGTGACATCATTAAAATAGGTTCTTTAGTACGAAATAAAGAAAGATTTGTAAAAAGAAGACAACGGCTTATTGGTCCCAAAGGATCTACATTGAAGGTACTTTTAATCATTGGAAAGCTGATTAACTGTTTTCCTCTAACATTAGTTTTTCAGTGCACTAATTATAATTTATTGTTCTTTTGACATAGGCATTGGAATTGTTAACAAACTGTTACGTTATGGTTCAGGGAAACACAGTTTCAGCCATAGGACCCTTCAGTGGCTTAAAAGAGGTAAAATGAGAATTATGTATTATCTTTAGTTAATTTTCAGCAAAGAGAAAATTAAATAATTTGGTTATAATAAAACGGTTCATTGGACTATATATGATTTATGATTATTTATGTTTTTAGAATGAATATTGTTGGCTTTCCTGTTAGTAAGTAATTTGTATTTCATGTTATTCAAAGGAATCACTGCTCCCAGAGCCTAGCATATTATGGCTTACTCTTGACAGCTGTGGGGAAATCAGTTTCTGAGTTGGAACGTCTGATCATCACTCTTCCTAGTACAAATTGTGATTGGAATTTAAGATCTTGGTTTGTAGCACATGCCAGAAGCATGATCTAGTTATCCATTTAATCCATTGCCAACTCCTAGAGACCCCATAGGATAGGATGGGATAGAACTGCCCCATAATATTTCCATGGCTATAAATCTTTATGGAAACATAGTGCTGCCACATCTGCCAACGTTTCAGTTAGCGACTGAGTGCTTACCCACGGTGCCTCCTGGGCTTCTGTGACCATTCGGTTCCAGCTCCTAGTGAACCATGTACAGGGTTTCCAAGGAGAGACATGTGCTCCAATAATTGAAGATTTTAAATAGATCTCATTTGCAATAATGTATTCAACCAGTAGAGGTCAGAGTCTGAAAACATTTTTTTCGAGATGTTTTATTTGGCTTGAATTTTCAGTGTAGTTTAATCCAGTTTTTAGAAATTATTTTTAAGAGAAAAATCTATGGATCAGAGACTTTCTGTTCACTCTTTTTAATGCTGTTGTTGTCTAGATGTGACTGTGAAACCCACATCTTGGTTCCTTCCTAGATCCTTTAATAATTCTATTTTGACATTTTTCTCATAAAATTGTCTCATAAGGCAATAATAACTTAAATATATTGAGTATTTTGTAGTTTTTAAAGTCTTTAAAATATCTTATTTAATTTTTCCAACTGATTTTAGAAGTAGATCTGTTTCCATATTACAAATGAGAAAACTGAAACAATAAAACTAAGTGACATTCGGATTCTATAAGTAGCCCTCATCCCTCTAAATTGCATAGCTCCTGAGTGTTGTAATAGTTCTCCTATTGTTAAATGCCATCGAATCAGTTCTGACTCTTAGTAAACCTGTTCAGGGTTTTGAAGGAGCGATTGGTGGCCTTGAACCACCCACCTTGTGCTTAGCAGTCTAGTGCTGACCCTACAGTGCTACACCAGGACTCCCTAAGAGTTCTAGGTACCACATTTTAGAAGGAAACTTGAGAAACTTCATTGTATTCCTAGAAGGATGACTATTATTATCAGTGGTCTAGAAGCCATTCAGAACAGTTGAAGGGGTGCTACGGTGAAAGCTGTGAGAGCCAGAACAAGAACTGTGTTTTTTCAGGTTTCACACGTTTTCCACCATTGACAGGGTGCTGGCATCAGTTTTCAGTCATTTGCTATTTAGTGGATCTGAGTTTCCTTCTTTGGCAGATTTCTGCCTAATACAACTTCTGTCTTTTGCAGGTTTTACTGTATATTCAATTTGGTAGCCATTGCTTGATACATAGAATATTTTGCAATATAAATATCTGTTCCTGGTATGGTGCTGGACTGCAAACCACAAACTCAGCGGTTCAAACCCACCAGCTGCCCCTTGGGGACCCTATACAGGGTCATTGTGAGTTGGAACCAATTTGATGGCACTAAACCACAATTCCTTCCCATCTCAATCATTGAAATCTTTGTTTCTAATATTTTTATTCATAAATTTCAGGTTCGGAAAGTAGTCCTAGATACTATGAAGAATATTCATCCAATATATAACATTAAGGTGAGTGTTATATGTGACTATACTGATGTTGTTGTTGTTAAGTACTGTGGAGTTGTAACCCTGCACAGGGTTTCCGAGGCTTTGAATCTTTACAGGAGCAGAATACCTCATCCTTCTCCCGCAGAACTGATGGTAGTTTCGAACTGCTTACCTTGAGGTTAGCAGCCTGATTTGTAACCACTACACTGTCAGCTCCTTGGTTGTTAAATTTCTTTTAGGTACAAAAACTTTTATTGATAATAAATATTTTATGAAGTCTAATAAAACAGATAAAGCAGATCTATTTTGGATAAATTAGAGGAAGAGTTGAGCCCACTCATATATAGAGGAAAGTTTGAAAACAATTGAAGGAAATCAGAGTTTGTGAGATCTCCTCACATTAAAGCATTTGTGGAAATTAACCCTCAAATTGTAGGCCTTTTGAGAGAGGTCTGTTTTGTGTGCAACGGTTGTGAGTATCCTTGGAAATGTGACCATGATGTAATGTGCTGCTGTGATAGATCATTGCTGAGCAGTGGGAGTCGTGGGGTAACACTGTAGGTAGGATAAGCACTGGACTGCTAACCACAAGGTCAAACCCACCAGCCACTCCTCGGAAATCCTGTATACATTCACTTTGAGACAGAACTGACTCGATGGAGCTTTACAACAACATTAGTGAAGTAAAAGCGATTTTCAGTTACATTGGAATATTGTAGATAACGAAGAGAGCTAGTGATGTATCCGATGGCTGGTTTGTATCCTTTGTCCATATATCTTTTGTTCCAGTGTCCATAAATTTTAAAAGGAGATCAGAAATGTGAGAATATTAATTTATCTCATCTTGAACAAGTTAATTCTGCTTTTCTCTTTCCCTATGAAAGATCTTATAGAGCTCTGGTAGTGTAGTGATTACGAATCAGGCTGCTAATCTCATGGTCAGCAGTTCGAAACTACCAGCTGTTCTGTGGGAGAAAGATGAGGCTTTCTGTTCCCATGAAGATTTACAGCTTCGGAAACGCTGTACAAGGTTGCTATGAGTCAGAACCGATTCCACGGCACTTTATAACAACAACGTGAAAGATCTTGTTTTTTACTAAACACTCCCTGCTTATAGGTAACATACAACTAAGAAAACTACCTTCTGACTATAAATTTGGATTTTAAGGTTTTAATGCAGTAATGGCTAAAAAACTGAATTAGTTTCATTGTCATCTCAAATATTTTAATAGTTCTACACTTCATGATACAAATTTCTAATAGTTTTCAAATGTTTAATTATATATGTTTGAGATATCCCTATTTTTTTTTTTTCATGTTTCCTTGATTAAAGACCTTAATGATTAAACGAGAGTTGGCAAAAGATTCTGAATTAAGATCACAAAATTGGGAAAGATTTTTGCCACAGTTCAAACACAAGAATGTAAATAAACGTAAGGAACCAAAGAAAAAAACTGTTAAGAAAGAATATACACCGTTCCCACCACCACAGCCAGAAAGTCAGGTCAGTATTAAATCTTGAATTTCTTTATAAGAGGGGGAGACTATTTAAATAAATATGTTTTTTTCAAAAACTTTATTGAGGATATTTTATATGAAGTTTGTGCGTGTGTCTGTGTGCATTTTTCAGTGTGTAGAGATGTTAGTGTAAATGAATTTAATTTTGAGGCTAAGTTAATGGGGTTTGTGGTGAAGTAAAGTCTTTAAATCAGGAGTGATTGGTGTAAGTTCTATCCCTTTAGCCACTATATGTTTTTTAGAAAAAATCAAACAGCAATTTAGCACTACAGTGCTTCTGTTATACTTTACAATATTCCCAGGCCAATGTACTATAACTGTTCCAGCTCTGAAATTTTAAATCCTAATAACCTTTTTCTAAGTTATGAATCCCTCTACTTCCTTTCCTACCATGACTAACATGTTTGTTTCACTTTTGTATATCATTATTTTCTCTCATGCCTACCTTTCCTTCTGTCACATCTGCCCTGCAAAATCCTATAATTTGGCATGGATCGGTCCAAAGTATTACTTCTTACCCATACTATGACTACAAGATTTAACTGGAGAAAATAGCATCTTTGGGTTAAATCTGTTATAGACTAGATTCCTGTATCTATGCTTCTGTGGGTTCTCAGTGTTGTCTGGAAGTTCTTTTGTGTGTCCTCTTAATTCTGTCAGTCTTCCACTCCTAGAAGATGACCTTGCCTTGCAGTTTACTGAAATAATTTACACGAGAATTTCCTCATCTTCCTCATACCACTTTTTTTTTTTCTTCTGTTTATACCAACTGTTTCTTTTAACTTATTTGAATTCCATCTTTACACATTTCTTGAGGGGTCTGCTTCATTATCCCTTCCTTGTGCTATATCTTAAAGTGTTCCCTCTCTACTACTTCATTCTGTTCAGCATATAACCCCATCTCTTTCTGTGTATCCTCTTCTATCCTCTACATCACTGTTTGGGGTTTTTCAGGAAGGTGTGATCAAAGAGAGAAAAGGGACAATGAACACAGTGTCAAACAGTCTACTCTGGAAGGGGAAGAAAGGGACACCAGAAAGAAACTGACAGTTGGGGAGAAGTAGAAGGATTTAGTTACTAAATCATACAACTGTGGAACCTGTCATGCTTCTTGTGGTCCTGTCCTGTAAACGATTGACTGACTGACGTGTGTTTTTCCCTCTACTATAAGTTTCTTGAAAACAGTTATGCCTCCTTTGACTTGTTCTGCCAACTTACTTGTGTGATTATGGGCAAGCTCTGTGCTTCAGTTTCCCATATATAAAATGGTGTTAATAATACCATCTGGCCAAATAATTGTTCATGAGGATTGAATGCATATTTCTAAAGAGCCTGGAACAGTACCTTGGATACAATGTTGTTGTTAAGTGCCGTTGAGTTGGATCCGACCCATAGCAACCCTATACAGGGTTTCCAAGGAGCGACTGGTGAGCTTGACTCCCACCTTGCAGTTCAAACGGCTCTGCAGTCTAGCGCATTAACCTACAGCACCACACCAGGACTCATTGGATACAGTTATATATATTGTTGTTAGGTGCGTGGATTCAGTTCCGACTCATAGCGACCCTGTACAGGGTTTCCGAGGCTGTAAATCTTTATGGGAGCAGACAGCCTAGCCTCTTCTTTCTCCCACAGAACAGCTGGTAGTTTCGAACTGGTGACCCTGTGGTTAACAGCCTGATTCGTAACCACTACGCTACTGGAGCTCCTTATAATTATGAAATAGGACCAGTATAAATATTGGATGGACATCTTTATTGTAACTCATTCAGGCCCTTTCATGTTTCTCCAAAACTGACTTTCCAGTTTCCTCTCACACTTCTCTAGAATATGGACTTTCTACTTCACTTTAACCAGTGTATAATGTAACCCATGAATACATGACCTACTTCACACCTTCATCATGCCTTTTGTGCTTATATTTCCCTCAACTTAGGATACACATCCCTTTTTGTTTTTTCTTTTAAGAATTAATCATAGGGATCTTTAACCTTACTTCTCTAACCCCCGTGGATAAAGATATGACAGTTTTTTGTAAAGATTTATCGCCTTTGAACCTTATGGGACTGTTCTACTCTGTTCTACAGTGTCGCAATGAGTTGGAATCAAAGTGGTGGTGGTGGTGGTGTGCCATGGAGTCTGTTCCGACCCATAGCGACCCTGCATAAGGGCTTCCGAGGCTATAAATCTTCACGGAAGCAGAAAGCCTCATCTTTCTTCCATGAAACCTTTGGTAGTTTCGAACTGCTGACCTTGAGGTTAGCAGCCCGACTCATAACCACTATGCTGCTAGAGCTCCTTAACTCAAAAGTAGTGTTCGGTTATTGTCTTAACCCCAAAGACGTTGCGACTGTATATTTGTAGAGATTTATATTGAAACTGTACTAATACTGAAATTTCTACAGTAATATTTCCACATTAAATTGGTTTAAGGCTTGGAAAAATTTCTTTATAGTCAAATATTTCTAATTTTTTATGCTTTATCTTTTTTATTAACTATCATATATAATTTGACAATTCTGTTCATCTTCATTTTTTTTTTTAAATATCATATTGTACTGAATAAGTTTCTACCACCATGAATTTCCTTTGCTGGTCATAAATTCTAATAAATAAATCCCAATCCCCAGGCTTCATTTTTCATATATAAATCTTACCTTATTTTATTAAATTTTATCTAGTAATAAATCTTACAATTTGAAGTATGGGGTTTGTCGGTTGTATTTTGTTAATTCTTAGGAAATTGAAAATTATTATTTTATTTGGAAGTAATTCAGTCCCCTGATACACTTTCAAGTACCTTGTGTAACATGGAATCCTCACTCCATGGATATGTGTATTAGGGAACAACATCCTCTAGGCAAAGTGTCCTGTATTTTTTATGTATGCTTCACTGTGGTGGTTTTGGTACTTGTACTATCCTCCCGTATCATTGGTTTATGGAATCCAAGGATACTGCCTTAGAGTTGTTTGGTGCCCATTTCAGAGTCTGACCATGGTTGAATTTATAAGTTGAAAATTTATTAGAGAAAAAAAAGTCTTTTCCAAGGTTGCAGAATTTATTCCCATGTTTCAGTCTTAGTAAATGATTTTTTATGAAGTAATTGTAAGCACCATTTTCTACAGATTGATAAAGAATTGGCTAGCGGTGAATACTTTCTGAAGGCAAGTCAGAAGAAGCGACAAAAAATGGAAGCCATAAAGGTACGAAAGACTGTTTACATCCAGTTCACATTTATTAGCAAAGTTCATGGAAACATGACTTCTTATTTAACTGTAGATTTTATTTTGTGTGCTTTATTAATAATTCAGGCAAAACAAGCAGAAGCTCTAAGTAAGAGACAAGAGGAAAGAAACAAAGCTTTTATCCCACCTAAAGAAAAGCCAGCTGTGAAACCTAAGGAAGGTAATGTTTGTTTTTAACTGAATTTGTCTGAATCTCTTTGACCGCCAAGTAAAGAAATAACCATATCCTCATCAGTTCTCTTGGGAGTGCTCCATACGATAAACACTTGAATGTGAACCACAAGGTTCATAGTTCAAGCCCACCAGCTGCTCTTTGGGAGAAAGATGAGGCTTTCTGCTCCCACAAAGGTTTAAAGCCTTGGAATCCTTACACAGGGCTTACTACGAATCGGAACCGACTCGACAGCACTTAACAACAAACACCACCATCAGTTCTCTTAGTATTTCCATTCTCTTAGCATTTCATTAATCCTTTTTATTGTTCAGTGCTCTTGAGTCGGTTCCGACTCATAGTGACCTGGTATAGTGTTTCCAAGGAGCAGCTGGTGGGTTTGAACTGCCAACATGGGATACACAGTCATAGTAACAACAAATGATTCAGGGTAATTTGTAATTTAATAGTGGCTGTTGTGGCACTGTGGGTTAAATACGTTGGACTGTAAAGTCGTTTGAACTGCAATGTTGGCGGTTAAAGCTCACCAGTCACTCCTCGGATGCCCTATACAGGGTCGTTATGGGTTGGAACTGACTTGACAGCACTTAACAACAGCAATGCCTATTTCAGAGTTCTTGTGTGGCATTATAGGATAAGCACAGAACTGAACCATAGGGTCAGTGGTTCAAACCCACCAGCCACTCTTCAGAAACCCTGCTGGATAGGGTTGTTATGAGTTAGAACCAGTTCAACACTTAACATTAATACCTGTTTCAGGATATCCCAGTCTGTCAACACTCTGCTGACTTCTGCCTTGTGCTTGGGAACAACTGTGCTGTGAGAGACACGAACTAGAGCAGTAAAGCAGGACACCCCTGAGTTCTGCTATCACGCCACTCAGAAAATGCTTATCAGAGACTGCGTTTTCCTTTCCTTTATTTATCTGAGCAGTGTGATTTCTATGACTGAAGAACACTAAATAATGACAGGAAGAAATCAAGGGGCTATTCAGAAGATTTTTAATAAGCTTTTCCCTTATATCTTTTCTTCATTCCTAGCTTCATTTTAATTGATTTTCTTTTCTTTTGCTTCCTCTGCCCTTCCACATCCCAGTAATACTTGTACACTTCATTGAATAACCCTCCAAACTAAATAGTGGCACCAGGGTATGGAAAGGAGAACACAGTAGCAGAATTGTACATGATCTATTGGTCAAAAACAGATATTACACATTAATATTTCATTATCTGGAGTCCTTGTGTTGTGCTGTAGGATTAGCACCAGACAGCTAATTGAAGATCAGTTATTCAAACCCACCAACTACTCTTTGGAAACCCTATACATAGTTGGTTTGAGTCTAACCAGACTCGACTGCACTTAACAATTTTATTCTTTTAATGTAGCAGCAGTGCTAATTTAAAAATACCATATTCTACTGTGTAGATGATGATGATAAGTGCCATCAAGTCGGTTCCAACTTAGAGTGACCCTGTATATGGTTTCTGAGGCTGTAAATATTCACGGGAGCAGAATACTTTATCCTTCTTCATGTGGAGCAGCTGGTAGATTCAAACTGCTGATCTTGCAGTTAACAGCCCACTCACTATGCTACCAGAGATCCTAATTTAACCTTCATTTATAATAATTTAAAATGTAGCTGTTCCACTGTAGTGGTGATGGTGGTGATGGTTATGTACTGTGCAGTTGGTTCCGAGCCATAGCGACCCTGTATAGGGTGTCTGAGGCTGTAAATCTTTACTGAAGCAGAAAGCCTCATCTTTCTCCAGTGGAACAGCTGGTAGTTTCAAACTGCTGACTTTAAGGTTTGCAACCTGATTGGTAACCAGTACGCCACCAGAGCTCCTTATTAGAGGCTGTAGATCTCTGCTTCTCAAGTTGTAGTTTGTATGAACTTCTTATCCCCTGATCCTTTTGAATTCTGAATACTATACCTTAAAAAGTTACATTGTATTATGCTTCCTTTCCCTGTCACATTTTTGGCATTGATTATATGATCAATTTTATAGGGAGATATCCAACTTCTTGTTTTTACTGTAATAATTTTGTTAGATAATATACTGTTAGTGGTGTTGCACAGTAGGACTAGCACTGGACTGCTAACCTTACAATCACTGGTTTAAAATCATCGGTGATGCTGCTCCTTGGGAACCCTATACAGGGTTACTATGAGTTGGAACCAATTCAAAGGCTCTTAACAACAGTCATTCAGTGAACTACTTGAAAGCTTATATTTTGACTTTTTTGATGTGTCAGTTTTCACGGTTAACTAATTACATACACTGAACTTGGAAGAGTTGCATATAATCTTTATGAAATTCAGTTTTAAATGATTTTTTATGTACAGTAGAAAATTAACATATTAATGAGTATATTAAAGTCCCAAAGGAATATGAAACAATTGAAGTACAAATAATCTGATTTTAAGTGGATTTAAGGAACTGCTAGCTGCAAGATTGGTGGTACAAACCCACCAGTGGTTTCTTGAAAACTCTATACAGGGTTGTTGTGAATCGGAACGTATTTGACAGCACTTAACAACCATACTTTAAATATAGCTGAATTCAGTAATTGGTTTGAATTTCTAAACTATAAAGTTATTTTCATGCATACTTTTACTAATGTATAATTATAATGCTTTATTTTATGGTTAATTGTGCTTTCAAATTTGATGTGGTTCAAGATGTCTTGCCTTAGGAAGGTATTTTATATTACCTTTCAGTTATAACAACACTCTGAAATTATTGTCCTAACTGTATATTATTTATGCTTTGTTTGGTAAAATCTCAAGAATTTCATATATTGTGTTTTAATTTGCTTAGCTTCTACTGAAACTAAAATTGATGTGGCTGCCATTAAGGAAAAGGTTAAGAAAGCAAAGAATAAGAAGTTGGGAGCACTTACACCTGAAGAAATTAAACTTAAGATGGAAGCAAATGAAAAGACAAAGAAGAAGAAGAAAAAGTAACATAGAAAATGGAACTAGACTTTAGTAAGCTGTCTCCTTTTGTAAAGGATTTTGAGGTGTACTTAGGCATTAGTTGCCATGTCTATAAGAGAGAATACTTGGATTGTTTAAAAAAAAATTTTTTTTTTGAGTTTCTTTTATTTCTGGAACAGAGTTCATTGTAAATAAATTATTATATTCATATGTTTTTTGAAAATTTTTGTATTAGAAACCAGTATATATGTCTTTATAAATGTTGGACCTAATCTGTCCCAGGCAGATTTTGCCTAAGCATGATTTTAGAATCAATTCAAGTGAACTAGTTTTAGCTATTATAATTATCAATAAAATCTAATAATGTCATTCGTTGTTATGTGCAGTGGAGTCAGTTCCGACTCATAGCGACCCTGTACAGAGTTTC